TCCCAGGCCTTAATTTCATGGAATGGTACCCACCTCACTTGCTCCAAGGTACCCTCCTATAAAAGGAAAAAACTATTTATTTATTTATATGTATTTCTGTGGAAAAAATGTAGTGACCAGACAGTGCAACCTACACCATAATTAGACGTGTTCTCATCTCCAAACCCTTTGTTTCAAGGATCACAGAGTTCCTATGCCTGCAGGAGTCTCTTGTGATATTTAGATATGTTGCATTACTATGAGACCTGCTATGAGTTCCTTAAAGGGAAATTTTCTCTTCCACAGAAATTGGAACCCTTTCCAGTGGGCACTGTAAAACTGTATCTCAAACCATACATATTTTGGTGAGATTACTTGGTCTGTCAGGGGGCTCACCAGCTCATTCAAATTTGTTCAAGTGATCCTGGTTCAAGATCCAGTGTCAACAGTTACTCTCATAATTATGTCAACACACTGGATCTTGTTTTCTTGAATGTCTAAAGTGAGTGTGTGTGGGGGAGAGGATAACTATGTGCTCTTGGCCAAGCTTAAACAAAATTTACTGGCAGATGTTTTCTGGGCTGCAGTTCCAGAGATGGTGAGAGCTAAGTTTAACCAGAAAATTTTGCTGTGGTATCAAAGATTGAAGCAATCTTACAAGAGGAGAGTAAGAGTGGGGGAGGCAAGAGGTTTGAAAAACTCTCCAGTTAGACCTTAAATGGATGCTTTGATCTGAAAGCGAGTTTTCAAAACAGACAAATGTAGTCCAGCCCAATGGAGTTTAGTAATGGAAAAGATTTGGGATTTCTACTTCTGCTTGAAGAATTTTGTTGAAAAGACTTTAGAACAATATAAAGTGATGGACAAAATTCTATGTTAGGTTGACAAGGAAATAATATGGCTCATATGTTCAACTGGCACTGTGACACCAGTAGCAGTATGTGAGTGAAACTCTGTAGGAATTTGTACTTTGGCTGCAAATATTAGGTAGTAAAAAAGAAAAAGAAAGGAATGGCATCATGAACCTTCACCAAAGGCCCAAGGGCTGCAGGAATTTCAGTGGAATTCCACAAGGACATCTAGGAGACTGAAGACTTGTTTTGTCCATATCTACTGAGGCTCACGGCTACATGCAGATAACCAGAACTCGTCTTGGTGTGTTGTTTTAGAATTTATGGGATCAAACAAAATATTCCGAGAGATTTTCAGTGGGTGTAAATGATCCTTAAGTGCTAGCAACAAGGGGATTTTATTCATGATCTGAATGCTTTCATCAAACCAAGATTGCCCCATGGAGACCATGCATAATGCTGACTTTTTGATACTAGCAGATTGTTTAGGTGGAGTAGTAACATTTTTCAGAGTAGCAATGTTCACCAAAGAACTACTGCAACAAGGTTATGGGTCAAATGCAGCCCAACTTCTATACAACAGATGGGAGAAAATGTAAATTTTATGGTTTATATTGAATTAAGAGTTTATTGCTTTTTCAGATATATATTCTTCAGTTTAATGTCTTATAGAACAAGCAGCTATTGAAGAGCATGAACGAGTAGGTGTTTGGTGAATATTTTTAATGGAGGGTTTTTTTGTTTGTTTGTTTGTTTGTTTTTTTTGATAGAGGGTGTGGAATGAGGTGGGATTTTTGTAGCTGTTCACTTAGCAAGTTACTGTTAGAGTAAAAGACACTACATGTATAATTCAAAAAGTATGTTTTGTGATCTGGACTATACATGTTAGTTTTCATTTATTTTTTTCATATTTGTGAATGTCAGGGCTATATGCAAAGTAAATAGGGAACACAAGCTTATATGTGGAAAGTAGAGCTTAGTGAAATTCATCTAAGTTTTAAAACTTAAATAGCTCTTTAAGAAGGTAAATCTTGAGGAGACGTTTGCATTTTGGCTCGTTTGAGGAGAGAAGTAACTTTATATAAATGTGAAATAACATACTAGACTAATGAATGATATTAATTACAAGTACAAATATCTTTAGTTCATTTGTGCAGAACAGGATACCATTTAATAACAGAGAATGTTTAAACACAAAGTAATTGCAGGTCAGTTTTGTGTTTACTTCATACTCAAGCTTGTAAATAGAGGTAATAGAGAAGGGACCTAAATCAGAGAATTCCATCCCCTCTACTGCTGTCATTATTAGTCATATCTGTTACTTCAAGTGCTCCTTGATTTAAATTTATACCTTGATGAGGAGAGAAACACTAACATTTTAGCTTTCCTTTCAGTTGCATGAATGCTGTGATGTTTCTTGTGAATTACATATTTATACTTGTGAACTTCACAGAGAAGGTGATGTTGAAGTGCTAGCTATGCTTGAACAAACATATTTTCTTTTGTTTACCTATAACCATCTGCACTTCATATAAATGTATACAGTATGAAAATATCTAAAATATCTATCAATATGAAAAATTATTAAATTGAATTTCATCAGTATTTTTTCCCAAATAGAGAAAGATTTTGTGCCACCCTCCTTTAATAAATAAATAAATAAATAAAAGCTCTAAGAAGTATAGGAAAATTGGAAGATTTATTCTGAAGAATGAAGGAGTAGAGGGAGGAGAGCTTCAGAGAAGTGTGCTGCCAGATAGCCAAACAAAAATAACTGGGATTCTGGAGACTGTGTGATGAAAGGATTTGAGAATGAGTAAATGACAATGTATATATATTTTTTTCCAGGGGGTGTGAGTTTTCTGCTTTTCATCATATTGTGCTGTCTAGCATATGGACTGTTTTTCAGTTGGTATTTTGGGTGCATTTTTCAGTTCCGTGCTGTGGTGTGTGGCTAGGGACCATGGCACTCCATATGGTGGCTTTCATACTTCCCTGCAGGTGTAAAAGAAAGGATATAAGAGAAGACTGTTCAAGATAAAGGTTAGAGCAGTTCTAGGTTTGAAATGTCTGTTCAGAGCAAGAACAAGACATTTCAAACTGCTTAGTGGAAAGACTTTAACATATTGTAAATGTTTTACTGACATTTCTTAAGAAAATCCATTTCATATTTTTATCTCTGTTAAGTAACAATCTGCTGCCTCTTTGAAATAAACTGACAGCTTATCAATATCAGATGTATTAAACCTAATGTAACTTAGATGCAGAGAGGGAAAACGAAGAGGTGGGCAAACAGCCCTTGTTACAGACAATGCTTTTCTTACCTGAGTGGGGTGGAAGGAACTGCAAGTAGCACTAGGACTGCAGAGATGTTCTCCTTGATACCTATGGTAGTCCTTCTAGTAATTACAATGTCATGTGGTTATGATTTACCCAATGGCCCACATCAAAACTGAACTATGACTATTTGTGATAAATCATTTTAAACTGGACTCTGCTACACTTGCATGTTAATCTTGCTGAGAAAAGAATCTTGCTGTGTGTTGGAGCGGAGTCTTTTTTTTAACTGTAGCATCACGTTTTGGAAATTAGGATCTTTTGGTAAGGTATTTCCTCTTTGTTTTGCCTGTGGGGAGACACTAGATTTTTCACATATGGAAGCTTTCAAATTGCTGCTGCTGCTTAGCATACGTGCTCCGTGGGTTTGTGGTTTATCCCACTAGTCTCTAAGCAAAGCCTTCCTGGTGCAGGGCAGTACCACAGAAGGGATTATTATAAAAAGGCTTTAAATACAGTCTATAATCAGAAGAGCTTTGTATTTGTTTCATGTTTGTGCCCTCTAGGTGCTTTGGCAGCACATAGTTTTGCAGCTAAAGAGCCTGACATACTGAAAACAGATATCAGAGATCGCATTCCAGTCAGTTTTAATAGTAATGGCTAGGAATATAATAATCTATCTAAGAACATTTAATGCATACATGATTTAATCTCTCCTCTTTCTAGATAAATACAATATAACAAAGGATGCAGTCTTCATTCTTCCACGACTTCCTAAGTGGCAACGGTTCACTCTAACTGAAAGCCTTGTTATGCGTTTTAATTTCATCCTCATTTTACCTTGTGTTTGGCACTTCTTAAATACTTCTCATCTGCCTCACTGCTTGCTCAGACAAGAAGAATGCCTGTTTCAGAGAGCATTGCTTACTTGCCTTAATGCAGGTGGATTCCCTAAAATGCAAAGCTGCATTTTCGTTCTGACTAACGTAACATGTGCTTTCATAAGCCTTATATTAATATATCATTAGTCGGCTGGATAATGTTCTTAACTGTAAAAGGAAGAAGTAAAAACTGATTTAATGTGTTAGAGGGTTTTTTAAGTCTATACTGAATTCCACCAGTTACTAAATGATCAGGATGATGCACAGAAGGATAAAACTTCCGCGTGTTATTGCTGAAAAATCATTAGTCATTAAAGTAAGTTAGCAGTGAAAACATAAAATCAAATTGTTTTCTGATCATATATGTGCATAAGTACATAATCTAGTCTAATATGCCTCTTATGTTTTAGGAATGCACGTAGAAAAAAAAATTACTGGGGAGCTCTCAGAGCTTTTGAGCTGGTCGCATTCAGATCTCTACAAATCCAAACATCTGGTCTACTGTGACTAAGAATCAATTAGATTGTTCTGTTTCGTTTTATACTCTGTTATTTTACTTTTCAGTACGAGAGTTAAGCTAGCATATGTCCTTTCCATTAATATAGCTTCCTGCCTGTAGCTGGTTTATAATTGTGGTAGTAATGGCAAGTAAAGCTGAGTATAGTAGGCAGAGGAGGAAAAAACCAAAACAAATAACTGCAAAATAATTACACTTGTTTTGCTTATTTTAAATAGAAGAAAATTCAGCCTTTGTCCTGGGGGAACAGATATACAGAAAGAGCATCCATAAGGAAATTTTATAGCTACAAATACAGATTTATCAGCAATAGTAATGCAATCCAAGGAACACAGTCTAAACTCTGTGAGTCTTAGTAGTAAACTCAACTGTGCTGATGATAAGAAAAATCATAAATTAACATTCCTGCATTAAATGAATGTGGCAAAGAATTTGCTTTCTTAAATAAAATAAAGTTCTGACAACAGTTCTTGCTTTTTTTCCCCAATAGGTACCTATTATGCCATTTATTTGGTGAAGGCTGCTCAGCAGTGGTGACCTCTCCCAATCAACTACTCCACAAATTATTATCTCTGGACTCCCAGCTGACACCCTGCCGGAGGCGAGAGCTGCAGAGACAACTGGAATTGTGCCCATTCTCATCAAGGTTTTTTCTTACACGGGAGAAAAAAAAAAAGATGAAGTTGGGCAAAGTGGAGTTCTGCCATTTGTTGCAGATAATAGCTCTTTTCCTGTGTCTTTCTGGGATGAATCAAGCTGAACCCTCGAGGTCCAGGTCAAAGCCCTACTTTCAATCTGGGAGGACGAGAACTAAACGCAGCTGGGTGTGGAATCAGTTCTTTGTGCTGGAAGAATACATGGGCTCAGACCCACTCTATGTAGGAAAGGTAGGGGATTTAAGCAAACTTTGGAAGGTACAGGTGCCTGCTTTTCAATGAAATAATAAGGTGTAACCTGAAAATTGCAACTTAGTCAGTGTGGTTGAAATACAATGGGATGGGTCAAAGTTATATGATTTGGGGAAAAACAAAGACAAAAACATTTTACCACTTCCAAATAGCAATGCGTTTCTAACTCTTCGTAATTTTCTAAGAGCTTTATGTGTTGTCTATGCTTGTTTAAAGGAGTACAGTGATGATAATAATTAAACATCACTGATACAATGACAGTATTTTATTAATAATATTAGTTACATTTTGTTGTGTGGGAATAGAGAAATATAAAAATATTCTTTCATATAGACTAAAAGCTATTCACAGAAAACAGCTGCTCTCTGTTTTGCTATTTGAGCAAAGACCAGCAGCATTGTGGTTGACAGAGAAAGATTCAGGCATCTGGGGGTGTGACAGTGGAAAGGAGGGCACATCTGCAGCTCTGCTTGTCTGGCAGAATAGTACCTCAGGGGCCTGCTGCCCTCCATGGACAGTACAGCCCTGTGGCTTTGCTCACCCTCTGATGGGCACCAGACCAGCACAGAACAAGCCCTTGTGTCAGGGCATCCCAAATGGCTTGTTGTCAGCATCTGTAGCTGCATGTGGAGCACACTGAGCACAGCTGTGTACCCGAGACTTAGCTCATTCACTCTGCTGTGTTGATGAGCAGAGTGCTTCCTTCAGCAATTATGGAGAAAAAAAAAGAAAAAAAAAAACACCTCACCTCTCGTGTTTCTATGTAAGGTTTCTGTGTAATGATCTTAGAGAAAGAAAAACTCATTTCTCTATGTGATATCAGAATCAATAAACAGAGTTTCTCACTAACATAGAGCAAAAGCATAGAAAACACAGGAGTGACAGTTTTTGGCAAAATGGCATGCTTACAGAAAAATAGTTGAAGTAATCTGAATTCAAATGCGTCAAATGTATGAGTGCTGGGAATTTCAGCATACTTGTTTCATCCTACTGAGAAAAAACCTTGATGTTTGTGTTAATGCAGTTAAGCACTTAGAATTTAATCATGCCATCTGAATAATCAAGCTGAATGGGGATCTGCTGTCATGATTAGAACTACGGTTGTGTTTAGGTGCTTTTGTGAACTATGGCTACTACTTCATAGTACTTAAAGAGACCTTAAGAAATAAGTGCTAGAATCAAAAATCATCTCCCCTTGCAAGGCTCACGAATATTTCTGTTAATTTGGAGAGTATATAGCAGTCTGCATTTTTATGACATGCAGCCACTACTTGGCTTTGTAAGCTTTGCCTTTCAGGCAAAACCATTCTCAGGTTGGAACTTGTGCTTCTGGAAAATGACACATTTTGGCATTCCCTCCTGGTGATAGAAAAGTATATGTGCCTTACAAATTAGAATTTCTCTCCTGGAAAGGAAATGTCTAAGTATTTGAAAGAAATCTGGTTTTATAGCAATTCTTATATTCATATGATTATTGTATTTTGGCCAAATGTACAGTGGTAGTGCTAGAGTACACGATATTTTCATGCATGTGCTTATTTTTAGCCTCACATTCTGCTCTTTCCTGTCCTTTACAGATGTCCTAACGTTTATGAGCAGATATTTTCTGAAAAAACAAGCAGGTTTTTTTTTTTTTGTAACAGCCTGTACCCAGCGTTCTTTTTTTTTTTTTTTTTTTTTTTTTTTTTTGTATCAGCAGTATGAATTGTTGGCTCAAGAACTTGCATTTGTACCAGCAGTTCATTTTATAGGAAAAGCAGACATAAATCTGCACTTGCAAAAGGAAACCCTTCTTCCTGGAAACAGAGCCCTTGCTGAGCATCTTATGAGATAAGACATGCCCAGTTCCTAACCTTCACACTAGAGAGGATTTTTACTATGTGATTCCTGAGGTGCAATCATGACCAAAGCTGCATTCCCATGCAGGGGAGCAAAGAGGTGAAGAAGTGATTTTCTTTCTGTGTTAACATATTATGTGTAGCACTGCTCTGAAGTGAGCAGCAGTCACTTTCCCCTCCTAAAAATATTGCTGTCCTTGTTTCAAACCTTTCAGGTTAGGGACTGACGAGACTGAGATTTGGATAGGAAAGGTTCTTTTTTTTTTTTTTTTCCCCTTGGTGAGGAAAGTGAAGAGCTGGCATAATATTTCTCTGATCAAGTGAAGTGGAGACAGCAGTCAGACTGCCTTGTATTCTGTAGAGTGCTCTGCTCCTGGGGAGGTCAGTCCTGCACTCCCTGAACAGAAGTTCAGGATGCTTTGCGGGATGCCCTTCTGACTGCATACCCAGGAAGGTGGAACCTTGGTAATGAAATACCAGTGTTATTTCCATGTTTGGCATTAATTCTGTCCTCCTGGGTACATACATTTTGACACTTTAATCACTTTCATATGCGGGTTAAAATCCTATTCCTCTTAAATTATAATAGGATTCCTATTTGCTTCAGGTAGGTGAGATGCTTAAAATATTTTTCAGCCCTAAAATATTTTTTTTAGTGTTTTCATGCTAAGACTTCTTGTTGATACCTGTTGCAGAGCATATACTGCAGGGCATATATTGAAAACTATTTATTGTGAGTGGTGGGAGCTTTGTTTGGTTTTGTAAAAAATATTCATTTTCTTGAGGGAGCAAAGGCCTGTTTCTTCAGTTTCTCTGGAGAAACCTCTTGAGGAGGACCTGTAGGAATGAGAGATGATGGAGATTTTTTGTTTTTTTTTTTGTTTTTTTTTCTCTTTTTTTCCAAGTTCGTTTTTTTCTATCCATAGTATAAATTTTAATCATTCTGGGTTGAAACTTGAGTAAATCTGAGTGTCTTTTGGGAGGTGCTTAGCATATAACCAGATTGTCATCTGATTCATACACAATTTCTCTTGATCTGTCAACAGAGCATATGTTATATTCTGAAAGGGCTGAAGCATTTAACTGTTCAGCTCATTTACCTGTTTAAATAGGCCCTTTTATCTCTCAGATGAACCATGTAGGAGGTGAGACAGTTAACTATGATATTAATCTAGCTAGAAACATGAGTCTTCTGTTTTCCAAAAACTGTTTACTATTTCTCTTTAATATGTTTTGTAAAATGCCTATTCTTTTTATAAAATGCTCTTATTCTGTATTTTCCATATGAAGAACTTCAAAGGAATGTATTTAGATAATCAAAATAATAGTCCAGAATAGTTTTAAATTACTAAATATGTAAATACTTAAAACTGGGGAGTATATGCTACAGTATTGAAGTTTTTTAAAATCTGTATGTAACCACGTGATTAAAGTATATATAGCTATGCACAGGCAAAAAGAGACGCAACTGAAGTATAACTTTATGAGTCTGTTAATATCCTTTTTAGATGTTTAGTCATATTTTTTTTTTTTTGTTACACAACTAAGCAAACATCCAAAGAGTGTGTTTTTGTGCATTTATTTTGGTTTGTTTGGTCTTTTTTAGTTTCATCAGTGTTTCGCTGCTAGTGTGTTAGCTTCCTGGAAAGCACTGGAATGACACAAAAACTTAGTAATACTTTGGTCTTTTTAGAAAAAACAAACAAGAAACAACAAATTAAAAGAAGCCCACAGATAAACTTAGTGTTCACAGCCTTGTTTCATTCCATGAACTTAGTGTGAAGGTTGGCAGATAATCTCACTTTTTTCTTTTGAATGCAGACTAACTCTCTTTTTTCAATGGCTCAAGATTTAAGGATAGATAAGATGGGGAAAGTTTCAAGTAAATAGGTCTCTAAACTCAACTTTCAGTCTGAGAGAGCTGGAACAGTTCAGCCATGAGAAGAGGAGAACAGATATTGGCATTTCAGTATCTAAAGGAGGGCTGTAAGAAAGAAGGGGATAGACTTCCTTGCAGGGTCTATTGTGATATGACAAGACGAGGTGGTTCTTAACTAAAAGAGGAGAGATTTAGACTGGGTATAAGGAAGGATTTTTTTTATAAGAAGTGATGAAGCACTAGAGCAGATTTCCCAGAGAGGGGTAGTGCACATCCCATCTCTGGAGACATTCAAGGTCAGGCTAGACAGGACTCTAAGCAACTTGACCTATCTGTAGCTGTCTCTATTCTTTGCAGGGAAGTTGGGCTAGGTGATCTCTAAGGCTCCCTTATAACTGTTTTTATTATTATTGCTATTATTCCCCTTGACATCTCAAAGATATGAAAAGAGAAGAAGGAAATGGTGTTGACTGAGCGTGAAGACAAAAGCTTGATATGCAGCTTTCAGAGGCTCAGTGGTAATTCTCAAAAACAATACTTAGAAATTCTGTGGTGCCCTGCATTTAATTGTGTTCTATAGTATGTTGCAAAAGATAACTTAAATCCTAACCCATGTTTCATAGATGGGGAGATCTATAAAGGAAAGAGGGGTGGAAAAAAAAAAAAGGAAGGTTAAATGAATGAGTAAAGACCATATAACTTGTTAGAGCTCACATTTATTGTCTTCCAACTATATTTTATCTGTCTCTTTACCTCCCTTCTAAGTGTTCTAACCAGGTCTGTTGTATTTAATTTTTAAACTTGGATCAAAGTGCAAAAATGCTATCATTTGCATTATTATTTCCAGGAGTAATACAGAATAAGTGAAACATTAACAACAACAACAACAAAAAGTAGTGAACTTGATATATCACTGATTTCCTAAGACATCTTGAAACAGAATTGTCATGCCAGACTGAGACAGAGAAGGGAAAGGGCACGATAACCAAAAGTGTATTTTATCATTTGACTTATAGCATGGAATGTCTCACTCTCAGAAGTTTGGAGAGACGATGGCTGAGCAGAGGACAACACTATTTTTGTTTGTTGGGTTTTTGTTTTGTTTTCATTTAAGGTGTCAGGGTATATGTTAGTAAGGTGACACTTATTCACATATTATATTTTTCTCTTGCATGTCACTATATCAAGCCGTACAGGCACAGTGAGGAAATAGAGCTTTTTTTCTCATTTATAGCTAGCCTTTTTCAAATATCTGGTAACTT